CATTTTTTTTTACTGGAAATGCTTCAACCCATCTTGTAAGTGGCTGTCAATATATCCCTCCTTTGTTGCCGGGAATGGCCCTATTAAATCCATTCCCACCAATTCAAAGGGCCGACTGACCTGTATGCAAGGGAATGGGTTGGAGTCAGACTTGGGATTTCTCTTATTTCATAGTCTCAATAAGCCCAGGAAAAGTATGAGGGTGGACTAAGATTCATTCAGGTGTTTAGACTCCAGCTTTGGTGGAACTGGACATACTGCTCCCTAAAGGCTCAAGAACAAAGAGGTGCATAAGAACAAAATACCATTTATTTATTAAAATGTCTTGACTTCAGGGTGTATAACTCATGTTTTTAGAATTCTTGTGGTTGTCAAGGTATCTTGGGGTTGTAGATGTGTTCATTATGTTCTGAAGGCTAAAACTATGAATGGGTTCAACAAAGAATTAGATCAGTCCCTCAGGATAGGGGCATCAGCAGTTTGCCAAGATAATCAGAGCTCCATGCTCTGCTTGTCCCTAAACCGTCCTCTGACTGCCAGATGCTGGGAGTGGACAATGGGATGGTTCACTCAGTGTTTGCCTGTTCTGTTCATTCCTTTAGAAGCACCTGGCACTGGCCGCTGTCAGAAGACAGGATAATGGACTAGACGAACTGTTTGTCTGACCCACTCCGGCAGTTCTAATGTTCAGCAAAAATTACAATCGATTTTGGCCTTTGAGAAAGATGTTATAGGAGATAGGATACTGCCTTTAGTGAATATTTGAGAATCAAGTTGTACACACAAGCAATGGCATGCAGAAAAACATTAAGGGCTGGACCGAGCGGCCAAATAACAGCTGCAAAAATGCAATCCCCATTGGTGGATCAAATCAGGACAAAGTTTTGACACTAGGCCAGAAATTCAGGCAGGCTGGAAGTTAGATGATCCAACAGAATAAACATCTGCTCTAAAAATAAGAAGAAAAAAATAGAATTAAAAAGTCAGGGACTCCCAGCAGCAGATAAGACAATTTGGGAAACAGGGAGCTCACAAGAAGCAGAAGAACCGTGTCTGGCAAAAGCCACAAGGGCCAAAATCTGCTCCCAGCCTGGTGTAAATCAGGAGTAAATTAGATTTGGGTGGAGGAGGAGCACGGCAGGGTGTGGGGCACTCTAGACAGGGTCTCTATGGTTAGGGGAGGGTCACTGCAGGGGTGTGTGCTCTAGGCGGGGTCTCTATGGGGGGGGGGGGGGTCATTGCGGGGGGGGGTTCTCTAGGCAGGGTCTCTATGGTTAGGGGAGGGAAGGGTCACTGCAGGGGGGGCGCTCTAGGCAGGGTCTCTATGGTTAGGTGGTGGAGGGGCACTGCAGAGTGGGGGTGCTCCAGGCAGGGTCTCTATGGTTAGGAGAGGGGAGGGTCACTGCAGTGTGGGGGCGCTCTAGGCAGGGTCTCTATGGTTAGGGGAGGGAAGGGTCACTGCA